AAGAATCCTTTCTTTTCTAAATAAAAAAAATGAGAATGACAGTGTGTAACATGTTATATGCCTATATCTTTCTATGTAGTCTGTATATAACATGTAAATCAATGAGTTTTTTCTTTATTGTACTCTACTTTGTTTATGGTAAGTAAACTTCTTAAACAAGTCACTTGATTAATGATTCATTAACTGGTAAACAAATTGGTGGAAAGGGAACTGTGTAAAATATGCATGACTTATACATATCACCTTTTCATAATTTCATCAGTAAATTTATTGAACGATGATAAAAATTCCTATAAAACTATTTATTAGTTGAAGTTAGACAATGATAATGTTGAATAACGGCTCAATGGTCTGAAGGTTAAGCATTTGCGCGCGAGATCAAGGGTGTTGGGTTTGATTACCACAGTGGGTTAGTGGATGTGCACTGCTGAGGAGTTCCATACCACGAAGAAACGGCCGTGCAGTACTTTCAAGATTTTAATGGTGGTCTAACTTAGATCGGTTCGTGATTTCACTAATTCAACAATCTCCACAACCTTTTACTGACAACCCTTTATTGGTTTATTTATTTATTTATTTATTTGAACACATAAATATTGGTACAAGAGAGCGCCAATATATATGCGCCACACAAAACAATGGGAATTCGAAGAGAAGTAGAAAGAAAAAAAAACTAAGGAACGCAAAAGAAAAAGAGAGTAATGACGAAGAGGTACAATCAGAAGAAATCTTTCAGGTAAAGGAGACACAACCACTTTTTATGAAGAAAGTAAAAGAAGGTTACAGCAGGATCGCCACTGGCTTCTATTCTGAGCCATATCTGTTAACGTCTCTAGCCACTGTGTAGCACCATCTCTCGGACCCCAGCCAGGGAGTCGTGAAGGACCAACACAAGCCAGTCCTTTGCAGCTTTCTTTCATGCCACGACACCATGTCATGCACTGACCACCTCTCCGCTTCTTCCAACCAGTCCCAGAGTCGGCAAATAATGCACGACGTGGAATTCTCTGGGACGACATTCGGAGAACATGTCCAAGCCACCGAAGTCGGTGTTTCAAGATGGTGACACCAATTGAGTTATCATCTCTGTGCCCGAACACACGATGCCGAACCTCTGCATTACTGACATGGTGTTGCCACTGAATGTCAGCAATCCTTCGGAGACAGCGATGATCGAACACAGAGAGTCGTCTAACGTCCTCAACTCGGAGAGGCCAGGTTTCACAAGCATAGAGCAAAACTGCTCTCACCGACGCGTTGTAGATCCGGCCTTTTACAGCCAGACTAACATCACGAAGGCGCCATAGATGGCCCAGATTGGCATAAGCCGCTCTGGCTTTCACTATTCGTGCATTGATCTCATCACTCACACCCCCACCAGCACTTATGCAGCTACCCAGATACACGAACTTCTCAACTACGTCTATCTGCTCACCGTCCAGGGTGAGTACAGGATTAGAATCCTGCCAGTCTTGTAGAAGTACTTTGCACTTCGAAGGTGCAAAGCACATACCATACCTACGGACACTGATTGCCAACTGATTAAGTGCAGATTGCATGCCTTGGGCATTATCGCACAGTAAGACAATATCGTCCGCATACTCAAGGTCGAGAAGTCTTTCTCCAGGCAACAGATCCACACCACCATTACTTACATTCATCAGAGCTGTTTCCAGAATGTCATCGATGGCAAAGTTGAAGAGGAATGGTGAGATTGGGCAACCCTGCCTAACCCCACTGCTCGAATGGAACAATGGAGAGAGGTGGTTGTATGCCCTCACTCTGCCTGAGGTGTTTTTATACAGGGCTTTTAGGATGTTAATAAACTTCTCAGGCACACCCTTCTTCAATAGACAATCCCAGAGAACAGTTCTGTCCAACGAATCGAAGGCAGCCCTGATGTCAAGAAACACTACGATTGTTGGCCTTTGAAAAGTATGGCGGTGTTCTAACATTTGGCGGAGGGTGAAGATATGATCAATACATCCTCGACCAGAACGAAACCCAGCCTGCTCCTCGCGAGTCAATCTTTCTCGGGTTTTGAACAACCTACGAAGAATGATGGAAGCCAATAGCTTGGACGCAATCGGAAGTAAACTTATCCCCCGATAGTTGTTACAAGAACGACGTGAACCCTTTTTAAAGATAGGGACAACTATCGACTCATTCCATGACGTTGGTACACTCTCTAGTTCCCAAACCTTTGTAAACAACGTCGTCAATTCCTTAGTCAAAAAGTCACCACCATCTTTAAAAAGAGCCGGAGGTAAGTCATCTGGGCCAGGTGATTTGTAACGCTTCAAGAGTTGGAGTTCCTTGCGGACTTCCTCCTCGTTTGGTGGATCAGTCGTCACCGGCCATGGAGGGCAGGACAGTCTGACCGATGTTGCCGGAGCAGCAGGCCAGTTGAACTGCCCTTCGAAAAATTCTGCCCATCGTCCAAGACGTCGATGGATGTTAGTGATTGGCATCCCATCATCCTCGCAGATTGTTTCACTCACACCAGACTTCTTGCTGCCAGTGGCTCGGATGAGTTGGAAGAGCTTCCGGTAGTTACCAGATGCAGCTGCTGCTTCCAGCTCATTAGCACGCATCGACCACCAGGCTTCTCGGTCCTTACGCAGGCTTTGCCCGATTTCCTTACATAGCATCCTTCGTTTATGGTCAAACTCACGGTCACCCGGAGTAGACCGACGGGCTTCAATGAGTTGTAAGGAACCGGAAGAAACCCAGTGCTTAAAAGCGGGACGTTTCGCAAACCCACAACTGACTGTTCCCGCCATTTTCATGGCGTCATGCAATTGCAACCAATGCTCATCTATACTTTTCGGTGGAGTGGTAGCTAGCCTAGAGGCTAGCTCAGTTCGATACTTACTTGCAACAGAAGTTGCAACCAGCTTGCTAACATCAATCCGTTGATGGCGTTCACTTCGTTGTCCACTGAAAAGTAAGGCAAGATTGGCGCAGACCAAGGCATGGTCAGAGTCCAGATAGGTACTCCAAAAGGAGCGGCAGTCTTGTACACAACCACGCTAGCGGTAGCTGATCGCGATGTGATCAATCTGAGTCCAGGCTTGAGATGCAGAGGGAGGACGCCAGGTGGCACATCGGCGATGACTGTGCCGAAAGTTAGTGCTAGCCAGAAACAGGTTGTGGTCTGTGCAAAGTTGCAGTAGACGGTCCCCGTTATCTGACCTGCGACCAACGAGTCCCCATCGGCCACCTAAACGACTCTCTTCTGTGCCTAGACGCCCGACCTGAGCATTCAAGTCTCCGGCTAGTACTACAATATCTGTCGAACGCACTTTCTGGAGAAGAACTGATAACTGGTGGTAAAACTCATCCTTGATTGCATCCGGGCTGCAATCTGTCGGAGCATAGGCGGAGATGACGAAAAGACATCTTTTCTCACGCCGATTTCTTCTCACTTTGATGGAACTTTCTAATCTAACAGCACATAACCGACTGTTAATGGGGATCCAATCGACTAGTGCTGCCTCAGCTCTAGCGCTTAGTGCGACACCAACGCCAGCAAAACCAGACGAAGATGCCACAGGGTCCCCGGATAAGCGCACGTAAAACAAGCTTTTCGAAGCGACAGATGGAGATCGAATTTGTAGTACTTCGCCAGAGTCTTGAATACGGGTCTCGGATAGACAACACACGTCGATATTAAGACTTTCCAAAGACATAGCCAGCCCTATCTGTTGTCCGACCTGCATAAATGTGCGAACGTTGAAGGCAGCCAGTTTGAATGATGCACGTGGTTTCAGAAAATCTGCTTCAGTCCTCGTATTCGGTGGTAACATACAATTTTCAACCGGACAGTGACTCGAGAACGTTTAGATACAGTCGGAATTCCACCAAAGACGAGCCGCTGTATAAGTATAAAAGAAGGTGAATAATGTGGAAAATAATAATAATGATGATAATAATAACAATAATGACAATAATAGTAGTAATAATAATATTAGTATTAATAATGACAATAATTGTAGTGATCATAATTTGAATCGATTGATTGTTTTTCAAAGCGACAAAAGTAATTTCCATAGACATAAAGAGTTCATCATTTGTGTGTGGGCTGTGATACTGCCCGGGTGCCCAAACCGAAGCAGGTGGTTATCTTAGGGGGCCACTCCCCGAGCCTTTGACCTAAAGGTCTAACCCACAAGGCAGTGGAGCATCGTAAGGAGATGCAGTCCCATGGTAGCCGGTGACCAACGATTGGTTCATACGCCATTCGTTCCCGCAGGATACTGGAGCCCATGTGCACCATTGATTTGGAATCCGGTTAAAGCGCCGGACATTCGCTTTTCGTCCTCTCATTTTCGTAAACAACACCCCCGCCACGAGAAGGCAATGAGTAGGACTTCCCTGGCAGAGGCTGTATACGCGTGGCCGTGTGAGAGTATTGGTAGGATTGTGAAAACAACCATTTAGCATGGATATACTCGCATTCATTCAAATGACGCTACTTAGCGATATTTTAATGAAAACTATTTTGAAATATTGATCTAACCGTTGGGGAATCAATATACTTCTTGAAACCACGAACATATTTCATAATTGCTGTAGCGAAATATGTTTTTTTTTCTACTAAATCGTAACTTTTCCTCATTCGATGAAAGAAAGGCGATTTCAGAATGGGAAGGTCATCACAGATACCTTTGCTGACTTGTACCTATATCGTACATACATCATGAAGAGGAAGAGAGAGAGTACTATGTCCGAGATTTTTATTTCGTCTACGTTTTAATCCACCTTCTAAGAAATTTACTGTTCGATAATGGGGGATTAGGTATAAATCTAATAGTTAACAAGAAAATAACTGTAATAAAATTATATCAGATTGTATATATTCACTTATATGAATTATGCAGAAACAACATCAGTCTACCTGAGGGGTTTTGATGTGATGTCTACTAAATGTAACTCAAAATGAAAAAAAACGGTTGATTAAAACATATTTTAAAACCGAAAAATATCAGATAACATACGGCGTTCCATAGAGAAATTTCCTACAAACAGCATATGTGAAGAGATACGCACAAGAAATTTAATGCCTGATCTGGAAAGAAAATGTTGATTATTCAGATTGTTTAAGTGGGATGTTGATGACAACGAAGAGTCACTGAAACTTGTATTCAAAAAGATAACAGAAGAGGAAGAAGTACTCGACAGTGATGTATTTGTAATTGTCGTAAGATCTGTAACTTCTGTTTCATTTCTCAGCTTCCAAGTAATGCGAATCCTTCGTAAATATCCAGATAAACTCCAATGGTTAGACTGACCAATGTAAGAACTCGAGCAGTTGATCAGTAAGATTTCATCAGGCTATTTTTAAGGGACAGCAAAGAAACAACACAAATAGTCTATAAATCAAAGAGGTTAAGTATTTTACTTGTTAATATTATTATACTGTAGTGTGACTTTTGGATAAACGACAGAAATTATAATATACGGCTGAAAACATTCGATAAGTAGGACATAAGTAGAAATATTTCTGACGGCTAAGCAGATCACTCTAACGAACATCAGCATAAGATGATCGTACCATCATTTTCATGCATTGAATATTCAAATACAACAGTTTGTGGCAAGCATATTTGAATGGAAAGGTATTCTCGTTAAGTTCGCAAAATACTGAGATATATACAAAGGTGTACACTTAATAGTTCCATCCTGAACTAGCCCTTTTGTGAAGCGATAGCCTAGCAGTTAAGCTGTCGGCTTTTAGCTTTAAAGGCACAGGTTCGAACACCACTCTACTAACTTCAATTTCGGCAACCGCGTAATATTGTGATTCATGCCACTTATGCTGACAGATATAAGTAGTATGTAGCAGCAGTCTGAAGTGAAAAGCTTGCCAAAAGAAGGCTAGATTGAGAAGAACAAGAAGGGGAACAGATAGCAATTGAAGTAAAAACAGAATTGGAAGAATTATGAAGTATGTAAAAGACAACTGATGGACGATGTACAAATGATGTATTTAATGTATGGTTTTCACATTTTACGAAGACATTCTGTGATATATATTCAACCAGGTTTATAAGTTTCCCACAAAATATTAATACAACTTAATAACCATATACTTATTTATTATTTTTATACAATAGAATAAATAGCATTATGTAGACATAATTTAAGGAGTGAAAATCAATTAAACTGGCATTATTAAGACATAATTTGGCTTTTTTGAAGTAAGAAACAGTTTAAGGGAAATCACCTAATTTTAAAGTGGGTTTTACATCTTGACCTTCATTGACATGATTAAATCTTTCACAGTGTTCTAAAGTACCAATGATATATGATAATGTACCTTGATGGGACTTTAAATCAGTTTTATCAACTAAACCACTGCTTATTAGAAGAATTCACACATTAAAAAAACTGAACAATTAACTAACAGAAAACTGAAAAGATAAATGGTTATGTGATAACTTCACTGAAGGCTATTGAACATGTCTGTCTGTAAAATTTCAATAAATTCAAACAACCGAATAAGTAGTTTGTTTTAATTAAACTAATGACAATAGGCTATCGTTTTTAAAATATTATATAGATTTGTGAATGATATGTCTTCAAATTACATACCCTGGTTATCACTGGTTGTGATAATCCAAACCACTAAAAACCACATGAAAATTCATATTTATTACACAAGTGAGTGCCTAACTGAACTTAATAGCTAAGTGGATAACGCGTTGTCGTTTGAAGTGAAAGGTACTGGGTTCGAACTCCATAGTGAATATTAACTCTACAAAGCGACTAAACGCAGCTAACAAGTCACAAATAGGATGAAACGACCCGCATTGCAGCTACCATAGTCAGCTATATTTCATCTACTCCACGATTATTGTTTAAAACACTTTCTGTATTCGAATGTAAGCAACACTCCAATGGTAATCGACTACATAATAAGGAGATTAGCGTCTCAAAATTAAACTCACTGCTTCTCCGATACTAGTTGAATCTATATTATCACCATCTTGATCCTTTAAAGCATCTTGTCGCCGGTGTTTTGTGTTCCACTCCAACGACTCAATCCATTGTTCCAATTGAAGATAAAAGGATTCAGACAAATGGGCATTTTTAGGACAAGTAAAGTGGATATTAGCTCTTAATAGCCAAAAGAGAGCCTATTTATTCACGAAAAAGAAATGTAAAATAAGCATACACACTACTTTGATTAATATTTATGTTACACATCGCGATAAGAATTTATTAATATAAAACAACTTAGACATAGAAGAATTGAACAGAACAAAATCTATTTATTGCTTCCTAACATTTCTATCCTTATTGTAAACGCTCCTTCCCCGATCCCAACTTTCCGCTCTTGCAATCAATACTAATGATCCAATCATACAAAATTCTATCGACGATCTCCAGAAACTACGTTCAAAACCACAACTCCGAGTATTTCTACCTTTATGTGCTCTTATAGTACCAGTTATTTGGACAGCACAGACGACCGCCAACTGAAACGTCATCTACAAGACCTCGTGAAGCTTACAAATGCATCGTCATATTTACACCTGCAAGGGCATAGGAAGTCACTGCCAGGTCTTGAGAAAAACAAAGAATGAAATATGCCAGTTCACTCACTCGTTCAAAGAAAGTTCATATCAAAGAATCTACTACTTTTTCTGAAATTATATAATGCTAGCATTAAGTTCTCAGTAGTCTTACCATACTTGACTACTACTTCGTAAATGCACAAGACTAAACACTTGAATTCTGTATCCCTTTAAGGCATGAATTTACATATCAAAAGTACAGGACAGCAACAAGTTGCACACATACTTTTTGAATAAGCATTTTATAGGTATTATAAATAATACAAAATAGCTTAGAGTCAATGTTATTTGGACAAAGATTTTATCAGCGACCAGCCTTCAAGGTGCAATGGAAGGAAATACATTGGCTCATTTCAATCATCACATTCTAACTAAGCGAAGAGCAAATTGATTCTATAGCTTTAGCTTTTAATAACATAGCAACGAAAAACAAGTCTGAAAAACTTTGGGTAGTTAGACAAAGTGCCCCCCTGAATGCCCTGGTACGGCCGAGAGTGGGGAGAGTCCGCTCTCCCTCTCGAAATACTCTCACACGGCCGCGCGTATATAGCCTCTGCCAGGGAAGTCCTACTCATTGCCTTCTCGTGGCGGGGGTGTTGTTTACGAAAATGAGAGGACGAGAAGCGAATGTCCGGCGCTTTAACCGGATTCCAAATCAATGGTGCACATGGGCTCCAGTATCCTGCGGGAACGAATGGCGTATGAACCAATCGTTGGTCACCGGCTACCATGGGACTGCATCTCCTTACGATGCTCCACTGCCTTGTGGGTTAGACCTTTAGGTCAAAGGCTCGGGGAGTGGCCCCCTAAGATAACCACCTGCTTCGGTTTGGGCACCCGGGCAGTATCACAGCCCACACACAAATGATGAACTCTTTATGTCTATGGAAATTACTTTTGTCGCTTTGAAAAACAATCAATCGATTCAAATTATGATCACTACAATTATTGTCATTATTAATACTAATATTATTATTACTACTATTATTGTCATTATTGTTATTATTATCATCATTATTATTATTTTCCACATTATTCACCTTCTTTTATACTTATACAGCGGCTCGTCTTTGGTGGAATTCCGACTGTATCTAAACGTTCTCGAGTCACTGTCCGGTTGAAAATTGTATGTTACCACCGAATACGAGGACTGAAGCAGATTTTCTGAAACCACGTGCATCATTCAAACTGGCTGCCTTCAACGTTCGCACATTTATGCAGGTCGGACAACAGATAGGGCTGGCTATGTCTTTGGAAAGTCTTAATATCGACGTGTGTTGTCTATCCGAGACCCGTATTCAAGACTCTGGCGAAGTACTACAAATTCGATCTCCATCTGTCGCTTCGAAAAGCTTGTTTTACGTGCGCTTATCCGGGGACCCTGTGGCATCTTCGTCTGGTTTTGCTGGCGTTGGTGTCGCACTAAGCGCTAGAGCTGAGGCAGCACTAGTCGATTGGATCCCCATTAACAGTCGGTTATGTGCTGTTAGATTAGAAAGTTCCATCAAAGTGAGAAGAAATCGGCGTGAGAAACGATGTCTTTTCGTCATCTCCGCCTATGCCCCGACAGATTGCAGCCCGGATGCAATCAAGGATGAGTTTTACCACCTGGCCCAGATGACTTACCTCCGGCTCTTTTTAAAGATGGTGGTGACTTTTTGACTAAGGAATTGACGACGTTGTTTACAAAGGTTTGGGATCTAGAGAGTGTACCAACGTCATGGAATGAGTCGATAGTTGTCCCTATCTTTAAAAAGGGTTCACGTCGTTCTTGTAACAACTATCGGGGGATAAGTTTACTTCCGATTGCGTCCAAGCTATTGGCTTCCATCATTCTTCGTAGGTTGTTCAAAACCCGAGAAAGATTGACTCGCGAGGAGCAGGCTGGGTTTCGTTCTGGTCGAGGATGTATTGATCATATCTTCACCCTCCGCCAAATGTTAGAACACCGCCATACTTTTCAAAGGCCAACAATCGTAGTGTTTCTTGACATCAGGGCTGCCTTCGATTCGTTGGACAGAACTGTTCTCTGGGATTGTCTATTGAAGAAGGGTGTGCCTGAGAAGTTTATTAACATCCTAAAAGCCCTGTATAAAAACACCTCAGGCAGAGTGAGGGCATACAACCACCTCTCTCCATTGTTCCATTCGAGCAGTGGGGTTAGGCAGGGTTGCCCAATCTCACCATTCCTCTTCAACTTTGCCATCGATGACATTCTGGAAACAGCTCTGATGAATGTAAGTAATGGTGGTGTGGATCTGTTGCCTGGAGAAAGACTTCTCGACCTTGAGTATGCGGACGATATTGTCTTACTGTGCGATAATGCCCAAGGCATGCAATCTGCACTTAATCAGTTGGCAATCAGTGTCCGTAGGTATGGTATGTGCTTTGCACCTTCGAAGTGCAAAGTACTTCTACAGGACTGGCAGGATTCCAATCCTGTACTCACCCTGGATGGTGAGCAGATAGACGTAGTTGAGAAGTTCGTGTATCTGGGTAGCTGCATAAGTGCTGGTGGGGGTGTGAGTGATGAGATCAATGCACGAATAGTGAAAGCCAGAGCGGCTTATGCCAATCTGGGCCATCTATGGCGCCTTCGTGATGTTAGTCTGGCTGTAAAAGGCCGGATCTACAACGCGTCGGTGAGAGCAGTTTTGCTCTATGCTTGTGAAACCTGGCCTCTCCGAGTTGAGGACGTTAGACGACTCTCTGTGTTCGATCATCGCTGTCTCCGAAGGATTGCTGACATTCAGTGGCAACACCATGTCAGTAATGCAGAGGTTCGGCATCGTGTGTTCGGGCACAGAGATGATAACTCAATTGGTGTCACCATCTTGAAACACCGACTTCGGTGGCTTGGACATGTTCTCCGAATGTCGTCCCAGAGAATTCCACGTCGTGCATTATTTGCCGACTCTGGGACTGGTTGGAAGAAGCGGAGAGGTGGTCAGTGCATGACATGGTGTCGTGGCATGAAAGAAAGCTGCAAAGGACTGGCTTGTGTTGGTCCTTCACGACTCCCTGGCTGGGGTCCGAGAGATGGTGCTACACAGTGGCTAGAGACGTTATCAGATATGGCTCAGAATAGAAGCCAGTGGCGATCCTGCTGTAACCTTCTTTTACTTTCTTCATAAAAAGTGGTTGTGTCTCCTTTACCTGAAAGATTCCTTCTGATTGTACCTCTTCGTCATTACTCTCTTTTTCTTTTGCGTTCCTTAGTTTTTTTTTCTTTCTACTTCTCTTCGAATTCCCATTGTTTTGTGTGGCGCATATATATTGGCGCTCTCTTGTACCAATATTTATGTGTTCAAATAAATAAATAAATAAATAAATAAGACAAAGTGCGAAAAAGATTCTTTTCTGCTCCCAAAAGAAGATTTGTAGCATTGTAAGTAGATTACAGGACCGTCAAGTGAGAGCTTTACTTGTTAAACTGAACTTTTTTAGCAAGTTTTAATTTTGTTTCACAGAAAATATTATTGTAGTTTGATTACAAAGATCAGAACTTACTAGACCTTCTGGAAATGATCTTTTTACAAAACGACCAGAAGGATGAATGACTAATCCAGGACACAATGCAAATTTCGGATTCCTTGGAGGATTATAAAACGAAGACGTATTTAAATCCCCAGGCCACGATAACACTAACTGTTCACGGATTGTAATATCATCCACTACATAATTAGCGACAAATCCTTTGTCATTCCGTTCCTTGCACAGCTTATCGAAACTAGAAAGCAGAACATCTACAACTGTCTTGATGTACTGAGTGTAGACTTACAATTATTCGCGAAAACATCACAAGTTATAGCATGATAAACTAAGATAATGCTGGTGAGTGCTACATTCTTCATGGACGTTACAGCATCAAAAACAAATCGGTCTACCCAATCACCAATAAAACCAATGCTTTTAAGACAAATAAACAAAAGATGTCCGAAATAATTATCGAGAAAAAAAGAGGGGATCATAATTAGAAATAAACAAGTAGATCCAGCAAAAAGAACAAGTTGGTTACAGCTACTACCAAACAACGCGAATTAAGTAGGCTGAATTGACAGACAACAACAATACAGGGTGTTATATATCTTCAATTACTAATCCCGGTTCGTATTTATACAACTGTAAGCAATTAAGTTTGTGTTTAAGAGAAAATGGTTTTCCAAATACACCATTGTTCGTTATCTGAGGGCTGAAAATAAAATGTTTCATGTACTTGGTAAGACATGTTTTAAGTCACTTAATGGTGATAAACGTGTGTTCATGAGAAATACCGAGAAAAAGTATAAATATGATAAATGACCTGAGATAATTCCATTACTTGGTAAATTTGATGTTATTACCATATTATATCTGCTACTCTGACGTGATCTGCTTCTCCTATTTTGATGACCCAATCAGGGCATACTGGATGGAACAAGTCGTGCTAAGTAGATGGACTGGTGACAAACAAAATATTGTCAAAAACTCAGGAAGTGTGCCTGAGATTTATCAAAAAATTCATTAGTGTAGCTCAATGACAATTTCGTGATTTGCACCTAATGAAAAACATATCACGAAAACTCGCATAAACCATCAATTAAAATAACAAAAGACCTCAGCCGGAGCCAGAAAGTAACTCACGATGACCTTGTCTATTAGATGAAGCGCTAAGTCTTCAGTCTTCAGTCTTCAGTCTTCAGTAATAAGGATAGTAGGTTGATGAACCTGTGTTAATCCTGACACATTGCTTTCCAGTAAAGGTCCAGCTTTTCCTTGAAAGTATTCACTGATGGGGCTGATACCACTTGTTCGGGTAAGGCGTTCCAATGATTGACTACTCGATGAGAAAAACGGGATCCCACTTTAAGTTTATTAGATCGTGGTTTATCAACCTTCTTGCTATGACCTCGGAGATTATTAGTGCTGGAGGGAGCAAAAAGATAAGACATATTAACACCCAAATCATAATTAAAGATACGAAATGCCAGTATAAGGTCACCTCGTGTCCTACGATACGACAAGGGGAAAAGATTTAGGCGTTTTAAGCGCTCATCGTAAGGAAGTCTAGAAAGACCCTTCACTAATTTCGTTCCCACACGCTGGACACGCTCAAGGGAGTTAGTATCCTTTACTAGACACGGGCTAGCTGCTTGGATACAGTACTCTAAATGTGGTCTAACATATATGGGATATAAAATTCGAAACGTTTCCTCGTCAAAAGATTTGAACGCTCGGCGAAGTGACCATAACGCACGAAAACCTTTGACAGCGGCTGCTTTGCAATGCGCAGTTGTTTTTAAGTCATGACTTAATATTACTCCTAAGTCCTTATGCTCTTGAACGCATGGAAGAGGTTTACCCTCAATAGTGTAACGGTAACTATTACCGTGACCGACGTGCATTAGTACACTCTTCCTAGCATTGATTTCTAAGCCCCACTCTCGAGCCCATCTAACTAAATCGTCTAAGTCAGCTTGAAGATCCACATGATCAGCCGCACTTTTTATTGTTCTCCAGATTTTTACATCATCTGCAAACAATAATGTCGACGACCTAAGTAACAGTGGTAACTCATTAACGTAGAGAAGGAAGAGCAGAGGGCCTAAGATGGTGCCTTGGGGTACACCACTTTTGACCGGCTTCCAATCGGATAGCGTTCCATTGACCCTAACTCTCTGTCTGCGGTCACATAAGAAATTTCCTATCCACTCATGTACAGTACCTATTATTCCGAAGCTCGTGAGCTTCTGCATAAGACCTACGTGTGAAACCTTGTCAAACGCTTTGCTAAAATCTATGAATATCACGTCGACAGACAGACCGTGATCTAGGGCTGCTGTCCAATCCTCCCTCGCAATAAGCAAGTCAGTCAAGCAAGAACGCTTGTTACGAAATCCGTGTTGCTCAGGAGCTAACAGATTGTGTGAATCTATGTGGCTTAGCAACCTAACCCGAATTATCTTTTCGAGTAACTTAACGACTATGCTAGTTAGACTGACAGGCCGGTAGTTAGATACTATCTGTCGCTGACCGTCCTTAAATATAGGACTAACTATAGCGTCCTTCCAATCTCTAGGGAGTTGGGCGAGTGAGAGGGACATGTTGAAGAGTGTCGCAAGCGGTTCCGAAATAATGTCCGCAAGAGATGACAGCAACCGTGGATGTAACCCGTCAGGGCCCGGTATCTTACCAGGTTTGAGGTTAGTTATCAACGGAAGGACAGTTTCCTCAGTCACCTGTACAGATTCAATGGTTGGTATCTCGGTGTGAGTGGGACAAGTATTTGTTACAATAAACGTAGAGAAGACTTCGCTAAAATAATCTGAAAAAGTCTCAGCTTTTGCTCGATCTGATTCAGCTAGTAATTCTGAATTTTCGTGTAATAGCAACGGGGGAATACCATCACTACGTTTCATTTGCCGTTTAACATACGAAAACAATCGTTTCGGACAAGTACGGCTATCATATACTAACTGTCGTTCGTAAGTGGTACGGGATTTCGCTATGGTTTTCTTACAGATATTACGGTATTTTTGATACTCACGCTTAAATGGTGCATGACCTGTCAACAAGAATAAGTCCCAGAAATGTTTCCTACGCTTTAACAGCTTCCGGGTTTCCTTATTAATCCATGGAGGACAATGTGATAGCTTACGTGCTGACCATGGGATAAACGGCGACGTTACGGACTCGAATGTAGCCTTAAACTTATTCCATTCATCTTCGATCAATCCATCCGCGTCGACCGACCAATCGGTCGAGATAGCACGGTTTCTGATTTCCGGAATATTAGCTCGCCAGATATTGGGACGGGGTGGAGCAGATACGAATTGTATACCATGCGTCCTAAACTTAAAGTGAATTACAACGTGATCACTGTTCACTAGTGGAGGAAGGTGCTGGATATCAAAGACATCCTCAGAGTGGTGGGTGAGGGCGAGGTCCAGCAGTGACGGAACATGTTGCAAATCAATATGTGTCGGTTTTGTGATACATTGTACAAGTGCACACTGAATAACGGTAGATAAAAGGTCGCTATCGAAACCGCTACCTGGAGCTGTAAGCTCTATCCAGTTGATATGCGGTGCGTTGAAGTCCCCAATGATGAGACAACATTCTGCCATACTCCAAGAACAGATGTGTCTTAGGATAAAGTCGTCAGCCAGACAAGACGGACTACGGTATATTCCCCCTATAGTCACTAACCCATTTCTAGATTTCATCTTACAACATGCAACCTCACATGTGCCACTGATATGAGCCTCCGATATGGTTGATTGTATACGAAAGTGATCCCTAACGTAAAATATTATACCTCCCCCCTTGCGACTTGAAACTCTATCACTTCTGATACAGATATAACCAGCAATGAAAGGAGAACAGTCTATATCAACGGTGAACCAAGTTTCTGTAACAACGATTATATCGGGACATAATTCTTGCACCATCAGACTTAGCTCGGACGTTTTATTTCTAAGACTACGAGCGTTCGTGTAGCACACACTTAAGGTGTTTTGGAGATCAATCGTTCTACCCATACAGGCCTCGGAAGCATTGGCTTCCAAGACCTGACTACCCGAAAACCCTTAATGGTAAGGTTATTTTCGCCATTTAATTTGCGAGTCCTCAACTCCGTAAGAGCATTCTTCCACTTGATTCGATCCTCAAGCGGCCAATCTGGTCGAATACGGATATTTGAGGCACGAGTTTTTTGTGCGCTTTTCAATAATATGTCTCTTTCTTCGAAACTCCCGAGAACCAGCTTCAGGATCCTTCTTGGTTGGGTCTCGCCTCCAACCCATTTACCAAGTCGTATTACTTTTGTAATATGTACCCCTGAAACCTCTTCAGGTAGTACATTCCTCACCACAGACTCCACTAACTGCAGGTCATGTGCGTGTCTTTTAGCAGGGTCGTTGTCTTTCGACTCCTCTAGATTCCAAATAATTAAACTAGGGATGGGTTTAGCTTCTTTTGAAACTGTGTTCACAGCTTTCGACCGTGACGTTAGATCCTGTATTTTAACTACTGGTAGCTTACGATTAGTTTTTATTGTAACAGAGTCCTGGGAGTCAAGCGAATGACTAACAACAATGTCAGACGAAGCTTTACTATGAGACTTTGGCGGATTGGTCTGAGAGTCCACCAAGGACTTACCAAGTAAACAGTCCTTAGTTTTAGCTATCTTTCCTACTCTTCTGCGTTTTCGCGTCATCCATTTTCCATCAGACGAAACGTCTACATTAGAACAACTCGGGACAGTAATTGTTTTATCTGGGTCACCGGTTTCTGCTGTAGCAATGTGGCCACCAACGTCTAATGACGTGTCACTCACCGATCGTTTCGGGGGAGAACGTTTAACTGCAGGTTGCACAGGTAGATGTCTAGCTTGCGCCGTGATAGCACTTACGACACTAACGCAATCTTCGCCATCAGTACCAATGTTATCAGTACAGCCCTCATCAACCTTCTTATTAGCCAACACCAGGAGACTAATTGCTTCCTGGATAAGCAATGTTTTGCTCGAGCAACAAAAACTACAAAGCCAATGAGAGTTGGGCTTTGAACACCTTTTATATGCAGTGGGGCTTAATCGGGTGCACATCTTATGGAACCACTTATTACACTCATCACATTGCATCCCTTCATCCACGGGAAATAAGCAGTATGGTTGTCCACATTTATGAGTAGACCTAGCCATCTTGAAAATCAACTAGAACGGTGACAAAAACAGGATATGTAAAAGGATTTTCAAACCTTAACTAAATAAACCAAGTAAAAGTCGACCAAGTATGCTTCGATGCAATAAATACACAGAAGCAAAATCGAAAAACTCAATAAAATATCACTTTAACTGGGGTAGATGCAATTAAAGTGTAAACAGTAGTTTTGATGCGTAATTTACGATCAAAACAGTTAATTAACTCAACGAGAAAGAATACCACTGTCCTTTTAAATAGAGCGCGGAAAGCGACAAGTGAGTCAAAATAGGACAATGATGTGACTTCGACGCAAGATCTTATTGATTGGCAGTCGCATCATGACCAAGTCTTCATTTTCGGGATAGGGTCTATTTTTAATAGTTACAAGATATACTAATAATATCGAAATAAAACTTAATCCTACATATCCTTCTTTTTGCATTCCTTTCATTCGTTTTGAACATACCACATTTTCTCAGGGTGTGAACTTTTGTTCACGCTTGGTTGGCAACTTATATTTCACCATAAAGAGCATACGTAAGCAGCTTGACTTCCATATCTCCGTCACCATTGTTTGCTGAAAATGCCAAAAGATGGTAGCATATTCTGGGAAGTATCATCAGTCTCCTAATTATGTTAACAGAAAGCTTTTCAAACAGGCGCAAAAAAACTGGTCCCGAAACGAATGAGCACTAAGCAGCACTCAGTAAGGCAAGAGAAGAAGTTTTTCAATGACAGTA